ACCATGAGTTAAGTTCATCTGACTAGCGCTCCTTGTACCTATAGTTGGACCAGTGTTTGAAAAGACTAAGTGCAAATAGTATTTCTACATAAAACAAGAGATTACAATCTAGTAACCAGGATTACTGCTAGTGGGCCAAATCAAATGGCTTGGCGGGCCAAATTTGGCCCACGGGCCCCACTTTGGGCACCTCTGAAAYAGAGGAAGAAAAAGCAATATTGGCTTCAAGAATTGGGAATCAGTTAAAATGATGTCAAAATAATTGGCTTTGGCCTTAAAAACCTTGTATCAGTTGATCTCTACGTTCAGCACTTTGAATTCTCTAGTTAGACTTTAACTTTTGTCAGTTTAGTATTAAACTTTAATGACAGTTAGTCTCTTTACAGATGGAGGAACCATAGTGGGAAATGGTTCTGCGGGCAAAGACCTTCCCCCCTCTGACCTCCACAGTGAAACCAACGGAGAGTCCAGTTCAGCTCCACAAAGTGAACTCGTCCTGCCCAGATTGATACCTTCCTGCTCCACCACCCCCATCTACTACAGCAGCCCTCAAAAAAGTTACTCAGACTTGGACYGCCACAGCTTGACTTCTCAGGACTCAGGAATCCCCACTCTAGAGGTCAACCCTCCGGACCCCGTCCTCCACAGACAATCAGGTGATGGCCGCCTCACGCTGGACGCCAGTAGAGACTCGCCTGCTACGTTAACACTCGACGACAATCCGTCCGACAGCAATGTCATGCACAAGTCCTCTACCTTCCCCCGCAGTGGCTACGACTCCATCCGCCTCTTCAGCACCAACCTCAGATTACCCCCCACCGCAGGGTTGGGTGTCGCCAGCGGAGCCTTGAACCGCAGCGACGACATCTCCATGTGCAGCGTGTCGAGCATGAGCACGGAGCTGTCGGTCTCTAATGAAGACATCTTGGATTTTACCGTCACGTCTGACTCCAGCGCCGTCGTAACCTTTGAGACGGATCACGGCGGCTCGGCTCACTTCTCCGACGTGACGTTGTCTTCGTCGCCTGGAGACTCGTGGAGTCCTGGGCATTTGCATGTGGAGWTGGGTATTGATCAGCAGGAAGATGGAAGGCTGAAGAAGCTGGGACCTCTGGCGAGCTTGTTCAACAGGTGAGTTCATGTTTTACTGTATTGAACTCACTGACTTGGTTGACACGGCTCTGTTGATGGAAGTGAATTCTTAGTTTATCAAAGCCTTTATTGTTTCACTTTAYTAGCTGTGTTTCATCCAATTTTAATGTGCATTTTGAGTGAACTTTTAAAATGTCGCTAAAAAAGAAATGCACATCAGTTTTGTTTCCATCAACTGGTTTGGAGTGAATCAACCAGGCTACACMAAGTGTAATTACATCAGACGTTGATGTTACGCATGGCTGTAGTAAACAGGAAGTAAAGTCTCAAACTCACAGGGATACTCATCTCAGGACAATGGAGAGAAGTTAGGAGGAAAGTGTTGCTACTAGCAGGAAAGTTGTAATTATTCTGTCACATCAACTACTATTGGTGATGTTGCATGCCGTCTGAGGACGTAGAAAAAGAAATTCAACAATTATTGGACAGCAGGAACAGCTGATGGAGGTAAATATTTGCTACATCAGAACTTATTTGGCAAATGTGTTTCCATCTCCCCTTTTGCGCATTAACTTTTTTTCCCCCCGGAAAATCCAAAACCACCTCAAGCGAGCATATATCCATCTGTGTTAAAAATATATTTAAAAAAATTACAAAACTAAACAGCCTACAGTATTTTTACGGTTTTTATTTTACAGTTAAAATAAATGTTTATCAAATAAAGTTTAATGTTACAACTAATTGTGGATCCCTTTAAGTCAAACAAATTGCTGGACTCCTTTTGTCTTTTAAAACAGATTTTTTTTCCAGAGACGAGCAAGGTTTAATGGAGGTTGAATTCAAGATATAATGTGAACGTCCATACATATACTTGGCATCGGTTCCAGATAGTTCTGGCATCGAGCCCAGTATCGGTATCGGCAGACCGCTGCACCAAATGCTTCTAGTTTTGTTTGTAATGTTTTGCACTCTTGCACCAAATCTAAGTAAAAAGTCTGTTTTGTAAGTGGCCTTTTAGCTTTGAAACTGTTATTTATATTTAGGGGAGTGGCAGAGCAGAGGTTAGAGAAGGTGAACCTGTGATTGAAAGGTCACCGGTTCAACTCCCAGACCATCAACGTAAATGTGGGTGGGTAGCACTTCTTTACCCCACTCTGGGCCCTTAATGCCCCAGCTGCTCCCCTGGTGCCTTTTAGATGGCAGCCCACTGCTCCACATGTGTGAGGGGGAAAACGCAGAGACCTACTGTATTTTCCCTGTTGGGATTAATAAGGTACATTTACTTTACTTTCTTTATACAAATTTATCTTGATTGATTGGATGAGATCTGATGCTGTGTTGTTCAAACATTCAAACATCATTCACCTCGTAAAGTTGTTAGTGATTCCCTCTCAGGCCTTTCAGAGTCTTCCTGCCCTCCCATCAGAGATGAAGCTTGTGATTGTGTGGGCGGGACACTCAGGAGGAGTGTGTTTCYGTCTCACTCTGCCTGAACTCTGCTGCTGTGAGGACTGTTTAGATTTACTGCAGTTTAAAGTATGGATACCCTGATTGTTATCTGAGGGAGAGCTCTGTCTGAAGAGTTGCCCTCCTTTTTTTGTTGTTTGTTTATTTTAGATCTTACAAAGTTTCCAAGTTTCTTGTGGATTTTGCGGTAGTTTTGTGTCCCAGCGGGATGGCAGCTCCCTCACTACTTCTGTTCATTGACAGGTAGGATCATTAAACTAGAACATGTGCTGGGATATTTTATTTTACTCCTGTAGATTCACAAGGGTTTGTTTCTTTGATCAACAGATTATAAAATCCTTCATCTGTGTTTGCTCCCACCGTCTGTATGATTAGGTGTGTTCGTCCTGACTGTTAGAAAACAGCCCGCAGCAGTTCTCCGTCCGCCTCATTGGTGTTTTGCGTGGGAAAAACTTTGTGTTCTCTGCCTGTCCTGGCAYGTTTGGTATTTCCATACCATCTGTCCTGATTGTCGGCTCAGTCGTAGCCTCTGGGACACTTTATCACCTTATTTACAGACATCAGGACTGGGCAGTTCTTGAAGTCCTGATATTCCTGAGAGACTTGACATCAAATCAGTGGAGCTCTGACAGAACGTCCGAACACATCCTGCTGGACTTTCTGAAGGTTCTGTGTGCGCGTTCGACTGGAGCCTTAACCTTTCAGCCGTCACGCTGCAGCACATTTAGCCTGGAATAAATGCAAATTCTGTTGGTTTGAAGGCCTAAACCAAAGCTGAAGACATCCTGTTCTGTTCAGTTGAACACTGTGTTCTGTCAGTCGGGACTAAAAGGCAGGTTTGCTGATTAAAGGTGTGACACGTTGACCTTTGACCTTGGCATTGTACTTCTGTTATCACTGTAGTTTAATAGTTCAACACTCCCTGATTACAGCTTATGTTTCTCTTCTAAGAATAGCACAGTTTTACTGATAAGGCTAAAATCAGGTTCTTGCAACATGTTTTGTTGCCAGAGGCCTCAAATATTTTACTTTGCCTCTCAGTCATGTTCAGTCTGCTCAGAGCTGATATTTCTTGATTACAGTAGACGTCTTTGTACTCAAAGGTAGGGCTGTGTATTGGCAAGAATTTGGCGATACGATACATATCATGACAGAGGGGTCACGATACGATATATCCCGATATATTGCGATACTATAAGCAAGGCGATATATTGCAATATATTGCGAGTTCTTTTGTCCTAAAATTCTATTAAATAAAAACCTCTTACTGGGAAAAAATAAAAAACCAAAATTCATTGTCTCAGAAAATTCTAATATTACAGAGACATACTTTTGATACATTTAGCTGTGTTCTGCTTTGTATGTRTTTTATTTTATTTGTTTCATATTTCTTATTTCATCCATGTTTTCAATTATTAGACTAAATTTGTCAATAAATAGTTTGAAAATATATTTTTTGCAGCTTTTAGTTTTTAGTATTAATTTACAATATGGTCACCCAACACTTAACAATAGCCTCTACCTCGAGACGTAGAGTAGACAAATGGCTGGCTCACTGCTGCCAAATAGTGGTCAGAGGCTGAACTACAACATAAAATGAACGGCTGGCAGGAAAGTTGACATTTTAAACCTTAATAAAAAATCGATACAGGGCTTTAGAATATCGATACAGTATCGGGAAATGAAATATCGCGATATTTCAGTGTATCGATATTTTCTTACACCCCTACTCAAAGGACAAAGTCCTCTGCAGCTAAGTGTTAAATGTTGCTCCACAAGTGTCTTCCTCTTCAGAACTTGAGGCTTTCTGTTTATGGAGTTGTTTGAGGGAACAAAAGAAAGTTGTTGAAAGCTTTGTCACTTCATTTGGAAACAGGTGTGCTCAGTTTGTACTGACAAGTGAATATGGATTTAAATATTGTTTCTGAGCAGACTCACTACCCAAGTGGATCGATGCCATTGTAAAACTAGCTAGCTGCTGCTGAAGCTATTTTACTGACAAATAACCACAGAATTTTATGTAAACGGCTGTTAGACAAACAAATGAGGGTGTGAAGGTCTGTGGGATAGAGTTTCATGTAGGGTTGGGCAAAATCTTATGTGCAGTTGTTAGTAAAACTGTCAGCAATTATTTGCCACTTTAGGGGAGTCGTCCTGGAACCGGAAGGTTGCTGGTTCGATCCCCCGTCCAGCCGTCTCAGTCGTTGTGTCCTTGGGCAAGACACTTTACCCACCTTGCCTACTGATGGTGGTCAGAGGGTCCGGTGGCGCCGGTGCATGGCAGCCTCGCTTCTGTCAGTGTGCCCCAGGGCAGCTGTGGCTACAGTGTAGCTTACCACCATCAGTGTGTGAATGTGAGTGTGAATGGGTGAATGTCTGTAAGTGTAAAGCACTGTGGGGTCCAGAGGGACTTGTAAAGCACTCTATAAGTTCAGTACCATTTACCTTTACTTTGCAATAACTGCAATTGGTGCTATGTGATGACAAATATTTGTATGTATTTATATAAAAGGGGTGTAACAATACATGCATCTGTATCAAATTGTTCAATACAGTGCTTTAGGTTCAATACACACTGTGTATGGAAAAATATATATTTTTAAAATTTATTTTATCAGCATGTCTTCTGAAGATGCTGTGTTGAAGGATCAGTGGATCTGTGTTCGACTACTCCACCTGGTCAAGCACAGATCCACTGAGAAACTTGCTGTTTCAGCAACATTTAATTTGAAAACTGGACTTTTGTGGATAAACAAATTGGTATATAATTAATTTCAATAAATTCCAATTCAAGAGGGGCATGGAAAGTTCTGTTTTTTGTACAGAAAAAATACCGATACCAAATTTTCAAATAGCTGACACTGTCGGGTATTATATGGTCACAATATACCTTCAATGTTTCATTCCTGTTTTATTGAAAAACATTGAACAATACAAACTTGTTTTAACTGGACATTAGGTAGAGCTCACAGCAGAGCAAAAGGGGACAGTGGCTGATTTGCAGGCCTTTTGTGGAGATTGATTCAGTTAAATTTCAATTCAATTTAGTTTCATATAATGCCAAGTCACAACAATTGTTGTCTCAGGGCACTGTACACAAAAAAACTATAAATCTAAAGAAGCCAGCAGACTGTGAGACTGCATCATCGGTCGAGGCAGATGTCCTGCCTCAACAGATGATGAGAAGCCAATCTTTTCTACTGATACCATTTTGTCTCTTTTTAAAACGTTTTTGTTTTGACCAATGCGCGACGCTCCTGTGATCATCACTGACCAAMCTGAAACAGTTAAAATGGTTCCGGATCATTCCCAACCGAAGCGCAAACTGACCAGGGGATCGAATCGATTCAGAGGATTTTCTGAATCGATATCGAATCGCAAAAAATGTTTATTGCAATGCATTACGGAATCGATTATTTTATCCACCCCTGTTTTTGATGTTGCAGCCCTTTGTTTTACCTGTTAGGGGTTCAGAGAGGAAGTATTTTGATTATTTTTAAAGTCTTTTCACACTAGGGTTGGGCGTAATCGTATTGTGTGCAATTAATCGTCAGAAGAACATTAATCGATTAACTTTTGGCACTTGACGATTAATACGGTTGATGCCACCAGAGGAGATTTCTCCAGTCAGTCCGCTCAGTGTTCCTCTCCGCTTCAAATATGATGAATATTAAAAAAGTTCTGTAATTTATTTATCTATCAACACAATTTAAAATATGATGTGTAACCTGAAGTCTGTAATTTTGACACAATTTGGAACAGATTTTTATGAAGAGCAAATCTTTCCCACTAAATAGGTCATGTGACTAGGACATAAGGGTGTCCAGGGACTCCAGGGCATTAATCRTCAAATTAATCGTTATCGGCTAAATGCAACAATTAATCGTGATTATTTTTTTTGCCAATATTGCCCAACCCTATTTCACACAGATTCATGTTTTTTTTTTAAATTAAAAACAGCTCCATTCCAGCAAACTGTGTTTACAGATCAGAGGATTAGCTGGCTCATTGGTGCAATGAACCTTACTGAAAACGGGGAGTTTTCCCTTCAGCTTTGTGAGGGCTGATGGAATTCCAGGTAGAAGAAATATAAATGTTTTTTTCTCATTCTTGTGTTGATGTGATGTTGCTGGGTGATGCCACTGCAGAGAAGGCAGACCTAATGTGAATACAGAAGAAACGGTGACTGAATAATGTTATGCATTTGGRAAACACGACTTGTTTAATTCTTTTCTCATCCCTGTAATTTGTGCTTAGTTTTTTTTAGTAACCAGCTGTCTCAGATGTTGCTATCTGCTCTGTGTAATATTACCCTCTCTCTGTCCCTGTGTCCCTCAGGAACCTGTTTGCTAAAAAGGTGAAGGAAAATCGGCCCGCTGAGCCAAGAGAACCKGGCTGGAARCTGTTTGGGAAAGTCCCCCTACGAGAAGGGCCAATCAAAGACCCCAAGAAAATACAGAAGGTAGAACTGACCCTTTCACACATACTTCAGTGTTTTATTAKTCTGAGGCTGAGTTGTTTTCTCAGAAGTGTGTTGAAGTTCACATGGAAGACGTTAAGTGTTGTCAGGTTAGGGTTTGGTGTTTTATTTTTTAGCTTGACTTGTTCTGTTTGTGACATGTTTGTTTCATTTCTTCTGCTAGTTTCCTCACCGTCTGCTTTGCCTTCTATCGTTCACACCTGTTCTTAATCTGCTCATTAGTTTCAGCTACACCCATTTAGTAATCACCACTCCCTGCCCACACTGAGGCTGTTCTGTCCTCCCATCTTCCTGGTTTTSTTCTTGTGGTCCTTGTCTTGCTCTRGTCTGGTGCATTCAGTTTGTTTTAGCTTGTCGGCCATTTGTTTCTTTTATTAAAACGTTGGTTCCTTCACTTTCAGTCATTTATCGTTTTAGTGTGAACCTTGGATACTCATACCATCCCACCCTAACAGAAGGTGGTACCTCCGTGGGCTGCAGCTGTTGGAAGCTAAAGTTAGCACAAAATGTAAGGAAATGTGTGTTTGGTAGATTATTTGTTATAACAATGCTTCTTATACCAGGWACCTGATTGACAGCACAAATCAAAACAAGTGTCAGTACAGGGTTTCCCAGTGTATCTAAATGGTTTTTGTCTGCTTGGAGGTGGCGTCAGCTGACGTTGTGATAACAGGCTTTAGTACGTTTTCTGGGGGAAACCCTGCAATACCAACAGYAGAATAAGCTGTTTAAATRTTTCATGTGCACAACCCACATACTCAGCTCTACTGCTCATCTCACCAGTGCTTGTTCCTTACAAATGTGGCAGCATTTAAAAGGGAAATCGACAGGCTTTCCACTGGTATATGGTTTATTGCTAAGAAGCATTATTATAACAAAGAACTAATGTACTAAATACAAATTTTTGTTAAATGTTGTTGGCAACTCAAAATTATAAGAGAAATTACATTTTCTGATGCAGTCTCACTGAATTATAAATATTTAAGATCAAATGACGAGTTTTGTGTGAAAATCACAACTTATTTTCATCTTCACTGTTTGTAAAACTGTATTATAGGTCCCGTTTACACAGAGCTGGTTATCAGTGAAACCGCAACATTTTTGTTGCGATCTGGCCGCTCGTTTACACGTCACTGGTGATCGGAGTCTCTGACACGGCACTTTTTGAAACCAGGTCTTAGAGCCCCCGTGGAGGTGAGAAGCACCTGCAGCTGGGAAAGCGTGCATACTCAAACAGCCGGCGCTCAGCAAGCGTTTCTTCTAAGCTATTTTTTTACTGCACAATTTTTTGTGGGTCTTTTTTGTGCATATTTTCACCAAACACAACAACACACACTTTATCCTAATAATCAGTGGTGGCTGGTGGAATTTTCTCCAGGTGGGGCTACAACTCCAAAATAGACGTATCCCAAAAAGCAATCAAACATGTACTAAGTTGTATCACGCCA